TTTTTTTTTTTTGATATTCTATCATAAGAACAGCTTTTTTCTTACATTACCTAACAAAAATTGCATGTTCTTGGGCATTGATCTCTCATCAGCGCCTGGTAGACTGGTACGTTACACAAATATCTTTTTTGCTGACATTCTGAGACACCGCTAGGAGGTGCCTTATCCACGCATGTTCCCACTAAAACAATTAAAATATTTGATAAGTAGTAAACAAATGATTAATTGGTTAATATCAGTGCTAAGTCAGGAAAAAAATTGTTTTAATCAGTTTTTTTCCAGGTTACTTAGCAATTAAGTTTGCCTTGCTAATCTTTTCATAAACCTTAAAAAAACAGACGTTTTAAACGGATTACCGGTAGGAACAACAATAGTTGCGTTTGGTATAACTAAACCGTTACAACGGTTACAGGTTCGTGGGCACTGTTCGGTCATCAGTTGAGAGTATATATTGTTGTTGCACAAGCTGGCTAATCGTGGACAGTCAGAAACACGTCCAGCTGCTGCTTTATCAAGACATATTTCTGTAAAACCTCAATCGTGTTGTCATACAAATTTGTTGCTTATTTGTCCTTCACTTTAACTCTTCATCAGATTCTAACTTATCTTTTAAATTAGGAAAAAGTAAAGTTTACTGCCTAAATATAGTCTTGTCGATGTCACTGATAACTGTTAAAGTGTAAGACTTACCCGAAGAGTTGTAGCATTGGTTTGAGATACATTGGTAGTTTGGAGGACATGCTCCAGTAGAGGAGCAGGCTGAAATAACAATTCTATAATTCGTTGTCAGCAATTATAAATTTTGGTAAAATACTGTTGTTTTTTAAAGCACAAGTCTTATAGTCAGCACAGAAATGTTTAGTTGAACGAGTGAACGAGCTAAACCTTTTCTTGTATACTGTTTTGTATTTCTATGCATTACTGTAGATTTTGTTCCACAGTTTTGCAAAAATAATACTGGAGAAAAACTTGAAGTTATATAAAATCAAAACTGAATTGTCTTACGTCCTAGCTGAGCCAAAATTGAAGCAGTAAAATAAATTAGGTAAATTGAGATAATGGTTTTTACAGCAGTATTCATCCTAATGTTGAAAGTTGATGAACTAATAATGTCTTTTAATTTGGGCGAAAAAGCTGTGAAGCTGTTGTTAAATGTCGCTTCAGTATTTGTTTAACTATGACATTTATTCATGAAAAGATTAATTCAGCTGAGTTAGAGATCAAAACAAATTCTTTGTATTTGACCTCTCACTTACAGATACATTCATATTGGCTTAGAAATGCCCTTTCATAACCAGACATCTAACAAAAGTAATTCACTTTTACAGTAAGATTTTTGCATTTAATATTTTAAACTTTGAAAAATTGACCGCTTTTTACTGAAAAATAGGTTAATTTTCAGAAAAAATTTTGATATGACTCATTTGTGCTTTTGGATTTCGTTTTCAAAAATACTAACTATAATCAGCAGCTAACAATACTTAAAATAAACTTTACTTTAGATAATTGGTAAAATAGTTGTCAAACAAAAATTCATCATTTCTGTTACAGAACTCAGATATGTACTTTTGTTTTTGACTGCATTTTTGAATTGTAAATGAGTAAACTTTTTTAGTAAATATTGCTATACAACGTCAAACTCTTTTACAACCGTCTTTTAGCTATCGTTTTTTTTTTTAGCAGCTTTATTTATTACCGACAAAAGTTTTCTTTTCTATATATTTATGTTAACAAAAAAATGCATGCTTTTCAACCTTTAAATAATTTATTATTTCATTTTGATTTATTGTTGACAAACTAATATTTCTAGGGCTAAGTAATCTTTAAAAGTTATAACAACTAATTATTAGGAATTTGGTCTCAGTAATTATTATTTTTTTTTTCTAGTTTATTATGCAGTTTTATCAGTGCTGTTACATACGTAAACCATATGTTAAACTGGAAAACTTTGTGGCTATCGCTTCTTAACCAATAAAAAAGATTTTTTTTTTCTTTTAGAAAATTAGAACTGAATGTTGGGAAAATTTCTGCAAATTTGTAAATATTTTCCTCTTTTTTTGGCTTCAAAAGTTTTGTTTGATGATATATGTAAAAAAGCGTAGTTTTAATTGGCTAAAGAGTAAGAAATATAATATTAAACAAGTTAAAAAAATTAATTGGTTGACTGACGGTAACATAGATTTTGCAAACCTATAACCACCGTATTTATATCTGTTGACTGCAGTTCATTTGTTCTCAGTAAACTTTATGCAAAAAAAAAAAAACCATTTATTTGGCAGAAAAGTCTAAAAGTGTTTGAAAAGATTCGGAAAATTTATTCCTGTTTACTGGTTTAAGATGTTTATAAAACTTCAATAATTGGGCATTAACTGTGGTCAGTGATTTCAAGTAATACAAACCTTCTGAAAGTGTAACTTTTGTATGAAGGCATAATCTAATTCATTTTTTGTATTTGACAAAAAATGCGTATCAAATTCTAACATTTGGCTGATTTTTCAAAAATATTGTGCTATAAACTGCTGCTGCAAGTTAGATGGAAAACAAATTTCCTGTTCAAATAGATGACAATGTGAACATCAGAGCTGTCATGTAGCGCAAAACAAGGGTATATGCTGAATTACTTGCACGATATGTGGCAGATATTTTAAAATGTAAAATTTCTGCAAAACATTTTTCGACTACAAGTAGCCAGAAATTTAGATAAACAAATAAACTGTTCCAGATGAAAGAAAGGAAATTTTAAGACTATGCAGTTATCTGTAAACTCTGAAAAGTAGTAGCAGAACAGTATCACTCTTTTTTGTCGTTAACTTCAAAATGTTTCACACAGAACAGTAAATTCTGGCTAAAATTTAAGGAGATCACCGATACAATGGTACTGCAATCAGCAGATAATAAAATCAGAAAAATCTAAAGTTTCAGTTCAGAGTAGTTTTAGTTTTTTTCTTGAATACGATCGACAAGTTGGTAAGGATGATCAGTCATCAGAAGTTCTTAACTGTTTCTTTGAATACCAAGAATTAAAGAAAAAAAATTATACAGCATAACGAGGAGTATATGTAATACTTGCAAGAAATATTTTGTTTTTATAATACTATTATAGTAAATGATGTTATTTTTCAAGTTTTTCGTTTTATTTCATTTTTCATAGTTAAAGCAGACAAAAAAGACGTCTTTTTTGTTAGTCAACGTTACGGCCAAAACAATACTGCGCTAAAGTAGCGGCCTAATAAGCAGTGATATCTTTTTTACTGTAAAACCTTATAAGCGTTCTTCGGAAAGCTATAATAAACATCGGACTATTTTTCCCTATTTTTTTTATCTATAATTTTTATATAACTCTTGAAGTATCTACGGTTGATGGTGTGCTATGTAGATGTATACATGCGTTAAATTACAGTTCATAAATCAGCTGTGCTTCACAAATGTCGTTTTGTTTGCTGTTTCTTCTACTATTTTTATTATCGCAAACGCTGACTTAACTTGGCAAAAGTGATTTTCATCAGCTTTATCGTTGAAATTTTTACCTGCTAAAATTCATTTTAACTTTTGCCAAACTTTAAAATTGATAAAAAAAAAAATTACTGCTTATAAGACAACTGTTTTTCAAATACCATTGACTGTTGTTATGCTCGGTAACTTTATTTAGGAATTCGATCAGAAAACCTTTGCTAGTTTTTTTATAATGAAAATTATTGATTTTTGCAAAAAAATTCAAAAAAATCCCTGTAGTTTTTTTGAAGATTGGTTAGCGGGTATAGCAGATACGTTTTAGGATGTTTAAGTTTAATTTTAAACAGTTTGTGCCTCTGTTTAACAGCATAAAAATAGGTAGACAATAAACAAGCAGTATTTTTCTTGTTACTATGATTCACAAAACGGCAGACTTGAAAACTTTACTTGTAAGGGACTTGTAGGTATGGTAAGTTCATAAGGTAAGTCTTCTTAAATTTGCAACTGTTGTATCAAAAAAGTTATATATACGTAGTGCAATTTTTGCAATCATCTTTTGGAATTTATGCATCGCTTCCGGTCATTTAAGCAACTTCATAGTAATAGTTGATTTTTGATGTTAACAAATTTACAGATGCATACTTGGCACGCAATGACCTTTGAGCATTTGGGCGAAAACCTTGGGAACTCCCTCAGCAACATTACGAGCATAGCGGTAGCCGCAGCAGCAGAACTGATATTGAGTTGCAATAGGTGAAAAAATGCAGTATATAGTGCTGCAGAAATTTGGTGCCCAAAGCGTTCTCAACAGTGGGTTCAGCGTTCCAGCAAAACACATACATAACAAAACTGTGTTCGTCGGTTGGTACTGTTGGCCACTGGTCATTCGCGGTCATTGGTGTCCGGATCGCCATAGCAAAAGTTTATGATACTTTGCGGTATTCTGCTATTCCTTCTTTTTTCTTTTTCTTCTTTCTTAATTCATGATTTCAACAGATAACAGAGAAGTGTTATTCTTCTATTTTACATCTTATTTACTGAGTAAGAATAATTGTATTTATTCACTTTTTTTTCTTGTTTTAACGGTTTAACAGAAGTTAACATTAGCCAAATTTTTTTTTTCTAGTTTATCTCTGCTGTATCTTAGATTTTTTCTGATAGTGTTTAAATTTTTGGAGATATTTAAAAATTTTTGTATTTTTTTTACCTCCTTATAGATTTTTCATTGACCGAACTTAGTTAACAAGATTTTTTTTTAGTACGTTGAACTTCACGGATTCTTATTGGCATCTGTTTATCGATTTAATTTGTTTCTTAAATGTTCCTTCTTTTTGTCTCACTGTTGTTTCAATTTTTTTTTCGACCATACACTGTTCATTATGATGGGATGCAGAGACGACTGGAAACATTTGGTCGAGATTCGTATAGAATGTCCATTTTAAGGAGTGCTTTGATTTGCATAATTTCGCGAAATATTTAGCAAAATATGCTAAATTAAACTGGTGATTCTCGTAGGATTTAACAAAAAGATTCGATACTGAGTCGAAGATTTATGACCTTATTAGGTAACGAAAGAAAACTTGACAATTTTGTATGAAATTCATTTAGTAGTTTGAATGCTTTGCTTTCATTTTATCATATAATTCGTACAAAAATGCTATTACTTTGCAACCTATTAAATTTGTTAATGAATCAAAAAAAAAAAAAATGAAAAAATTGGGAGCGAAAAATATTTAAAAAGATTTTTTTTCGAGAATAGATTTGTTTATTGTATAGAGGAAAGTAAATTTTAAGGATAAAAGTGAGAGCAGATATTTGTGGAAGAAATTTTTTGGTAACTGCGTAAATACTTTCATCACAGTATCATTTTATTTGCTTTTATTTTTCTTACTATTAGTACTATTGATTTTATTTGTCTTCTTTTCTGTTATCTGTATCGCGAATCTCAGTTGAAAAGGTTTTTAAAGTTGTAGCCGAGAGTGTAGTTAAAATTTCTGAAGGAAAAGAAGCCAAAATCTAGTCGTTGACCTCTAATTTAGTTGTTCGTGGACTGGCTGTGAAGTTCGGTCTTACTTTTGGCACCGATTTAACATTTTGGACGTGAAGAATCTTAAAGCAAATTGTACATCGTAAACAGTTACAAGTTAAGATGGACGGTACAAATAGCAACTAGTAAAAAACAAGATATTAACAGTTTGGGTGGTAAAGGACACTGAAAGTTGCAAATTGGAGTGAGAATTTGAGGAGATTTTGTTAAGAAAACTTTTGGCTACGAAATTGGGAGAAAGTCGATTAGTCGATTTTCTTGGTTTTATAGAGTTTTTTAGAATTGAATTGTAAAGCAAAAGTGCTTTGATAGTTTTTGGCTGTTTTATTTGTCATACTTAGAGTGGTGACGAAGTTTTTTAAGGTATTGTTTGACCAAAACTGTCAAAGGTTATGGATGATAACGCTCTTCATTTGGGTGTTCAAGTAAGTAACTTGTCATGGACATGTGGTTTTATTACTTTTCTCAATAGAAACGCATTTCTTAAATGTTTTCGTAAGTTTCATTTTTTGGAATATTTTTTCAGTTACTAGATGTTTATCTTTTTTACAATTTAGGGAGGCGCTTCTTCAGGCGAACGAACGTTTCCAAAAAAGACGCAGAGTAAGGGACCTGCTCAAAATGGATCTGCGAAAGCGGCGTCAGCCGTGAACGGCACGTTCATTCAAAGTTTTGAATGAATATTTACAACCAGTTTCACTTGATTTTTTCAAAATATTCTAACCTCAAGAAAGTTTAGGTGGTCTCGGCAAGACTCCCCAAGGAGGTAGTAGTGGTGATAACATAGAAGTTTTCACCAATCTTGACAAGCAATCAAAACGTTTAAGTATTGAAAAGATTTACCAGAAAAAAACACAATTAGAACACATTTTACTGCGTCCGGATACATATATTGGCTCAGTTGAACATACCGATAAAACTGTATGTGCTAAAATAGTAAATGCAATTTACACTTCAGGGTTTTTACGAGAATGGATTTTTCTTACTCTTCTATGTTCAATTTTTTCTCTACACAGAATCAATTTTTGCAAGTTTTGTAAATTTTTTCAAAAGTACATGTACTCGGTATTCTTTTAGTCCATGTGGGTTTATGATCCCGAATCAGAGAGGATTGTGCAGCGTGAAATAAGTTATGTTCCTGGACTGTATAAAATTTTTGATGAGATATTGGTCAACGCCGCCGATAATAAACAAAGAGACCCAAAAATGAACTTAATACGAGTAAACATAAATAGGTAACTAATGATTTGCTTGATTTTTTACCCATGATTCTGTGCTGTAAAGTTTTACTATATATACTTTTGAGTAGAAACAGACCTATATTTACTACAATATGTCAACT